ACAACATATTCAGTTCTAGAATTTATATTCAGTGTTAATTGTAGCTAGGCTCAAACTGTTAATGCTATCTTACTTTAATAGGCAACACTGTTATATGCAAAACTAGGGTGGCACTAGGGTGCGACATGCCTGGATGAATCCTGCTGACTGATTTTGGTTTTCCTCTGAATTATTATGATTTATTGTTACTTGTGTTGCCTGCAGGAGGATTATGACTTATCCAGTTATATATCTGCATCCATTGGACAGAGGGACTCAGAATCTGAAAATTTGTTGACTCTGGTTAGTGATATGTGATACTTTGAGTGTACCCCATAATATACAGGACAGTAAGATGGCAGACTTATATGTATGTAGTTAGTGAAGTCCGACGTCAGGCACAGCCTGCCATGGTAAACATGCTAAACATTGCTTTTTTAATATGCTGATGTTGGCTTTTAGAACTTATGTATCCGAGCACAGCCGCTGCCAAGATGGATCTAACCTCTTAGCCTTGTTAAACTCTAATATCAATATATCCCAAAAATCCAATATCAGTAAAGCTATTTGTATAATGAGGGAAAATTGATGTTGCAAACAGGATTTTGTGTGTGCATGTACAGACAGTGTGATTGTTGACTTGCACAACACACTTACTGCTCATCCCTGCTGATGCATTACGTGCTATGCATGCTGTTGGTCCCGGGCAGATGTTAATTTATTCATGACCAGTGCTCTGTCTCTGTCAGGGAAGATTAGCAGCGAGCAGTGGTACTGTACCTAATCCTATCCTCTCTTTTCTTCATTTTGGACCTTATTGTGTTTGCTTGCTGTCAAGTAAACCATATTGAAATTAACTCTGCTTTAAGGGTGTTTTGGGGAAGGCTAAGAAAACACGACTGACTTCTGTCTGAAGGTGTTTCTATCTCATTTCTTGTTTGTCCTTTCTTCTGAGCAGTCAGTCAGTCTGTCTGCTTCTCAGTGATCATACGCACCCATATAGACGTGCAGGGAGCCTTACATCAGCACAACCCTGTAATCCAGCAGCAGAGCGACGTCATCTTCTGCCATCCAGTGAGAGGAGCGGGGGACGGGTTTGCCAGCCAACTGTAAGGAGACCTAATGAGGCATAGGGCTTCCTGATGCATGGTACATGTGGTTTCAGCCGGCGTTTTAACTTCTTAAAAAGACACTAAAAATATAGCCAATTTGTCATTCAGTCATGGGAATGTGCTTCAGAAGAAGAACAGATGTGGAGTCTGTCACGATGAGCTGCCGTGAAATGTGAAAAGAAATGACAGAAAAGGGGAGTTCAAGAGTTGCTGTGTTTTTATCCTCGTCCATCTGTATCTCAAGTGCTGTGAGAATACAGAGACTGCAGTAGCCAAGCAGCCAATCAGATTGTGGCACTCAGAAGCCAGTCAGAGGCAAGACAACAGACATGCCCAGAAACACACAGGTGCTTTCATCTGCTTATTCTGCGCAGATTTTATAATATACACAATAATGGATGAGACTGTTTATCAAAGAAACACAGTTTTATGTTGCATTCTTATGCAATCAAGACTTTATTAAAAATGACTTTTGCATAAAGTAATAAAAACACATTACAACAAACTGAGATAGGACCTTCTGTTTACATGTTTTACACTCAGAACTGGATTTTTCTTTTACATTTTTTACAAAAACGTTTTTTCTCTCTTGCTGCAGTTGATGTAGTATTACTGAAAGGCCACTAGGGACTGATAGAGGACCTGAAAAATGAGCTTTGTATTTGTGAGACTGTGCACACTGTAATGGTTTAGTTAAAATACTTAACACTTACACTTAAAAGCAGTCTTTTTTGCAAGTGCATACAAATTTTAATGTTATTCTTATAGTTACAAGTTATAGATTTTAAATTCCAACAGGGTTGTAGACTTTTAATCATCAACAAGTTTGGCTTCTGGGTTCAGCTTCTTAATATTTGTTTTTTCTTGAATGGTTCTAAATTGGATATCACAAACTCTACAGCAAGTCTGAGTACACTGTTTGGAGACTGGTTGCCTCCTGCCAGACAACCTGCACAGTCACCTTGGGTTCACCTTGCATGCCTCGCCTCACCCAGAGGTTAATGGGAGGATTGCTCAACCTCGGGGTCTCCAGTTGTTTGCTACAACTGCTTGCAATCGGTCACTGAATGCAAAAAATCACCACAAAATCGCCACAATTTTATTTTCTAGCTGGGATCCTATTTTGTGTTCTAGTGTGACTGAAGCACATTCAGCAAAGATATATAGTGCAGAAGAAGATGCTCTACATTTTCACTAGTAGAGCGTCTCCTTCTCTATAATTTACAATATTCTGAAAACTGACTGGAGTGCACGTAGCAGAGTAGCATCACAGCTGTGTAGTGGTGTGTTTGGTTTAAGTTCTTACCTAATGTGTAAGACACATGGCTGAGCAGTAAAAAACAAGACAAAATATAGAATATTTAACATGAATAGGAATCCGACCAGACAGTCAGTGCAATTTCTTTCTTAGTCTGTGCTTGTGATCTCTATATATCGGTACCAAAACATTTTGAGGTTTAAAACCTGCCTCTGCTGATATAGCTGTCTGTTGCTTTACCAACCATCACTATGTGTGTGTGTAACATCTATACACCATTGTACACAGATTTTACTGGTGCCAGTCCCACCACATCCATGCCATGTGGGTTACTTTCATTGTCAGTTCTTATAGTTTTAGCATCAAAAGGCCCCAACTGGCCCACAACATTAAATGAACTTGTGAAATTTAGGAACCTCAGTTGCCATGGCAACCCATCCTTCTCAAATTCTTTTTGCCTCCCTTCACAGAAGCCATAAAATACCAAATACGGATCATTAAACTCTGTGTGTGGGGGGGGAGTGTGTCATGGTTAACTCTGATTCTGTGGAGCCTTCTGTGAAATCCTAGGCGCAACATACCTGCGGTGACAACAGAAATATATTCCTCTCTTTGTTTATTCCTGGAGTTCATACACATAAAATAGTGCTGCAAATTAAAAATATCTTCAGGGTTTGTCAGGTTCTGAGACATTTTAGCAAATCTTCAACACTGGAAACAGCTTCAGGCTAAAGAAAATGTGTTTAATAAGCATTTAAATAAGGGTATGACCTCAACTAACAAGGTTAGCATTTATAAGTTATACCAGTGAGTCAAAGCTGTGTTTTTCTAATTTTAGTTGTGTGTGTTGTTAAAGATGAGAGCTAATCCTTAATATTGTTATCTCAGACACGTAGTTTTCACTGAAAGCACAGAAGCCCCACCCACCTGCTATTTAAGCTTTCTGTCTATGAAGGGCAGCCAATTGGAAGAGGAGTAATTAAGAGCTTTTTTCAGACAGTGGAGGGCACAGTATAAGATAAATGAGGACTTTGAACTGCAGTACACCTCTGGACCTCTAATTAGCCTCTATTTAAGTAGAGGCTGATATTTTCTTGACAAATCTTCACACCAGAAATAAACAAATTTCCCACGTGTGGGACTAATAAAGGTTATCTTATCTTAACAAACAAACAAACAAAAACATTAAATAGATTACAAATGTACTTTTGTGTTTTTAATACGATTAAACAGCCAAGAAAAATGTGTTTAAATAGCATACGATAATAGAAAAATTAAAAAAAAGACTACATGTAACCAGTGAAAGCAGGACTCAATAATTACACAAAGCATGGTGTAAATCCAAACAGGTTCACTAATATCACCCAAATAACATCTAGCAGATATGCATTTAGCTCACTTTTAAAGCATCTGTGCAATGTGAATGTCTTCAAGTCAAGTCAGGCTTTAGGCGGCAGCTATAGACAGTTAGAGCTATAAAAGATGGATGTAGCTTTTACCATGACGTCATCCACTGGTTTCTGATGTGCCATTTTGAAGCCTTGACATGAGTGTTTCTGCTGTTGCCATCTTGTATGCAAAAAGCCAGTTGTGACGAGCAGGGCCAGGTAGGGCTGCTCAATTAATCGAATTTTAATCACGATTACGATCTGGGCTTTCAACGATCATTAAAAATGACTGAGCCGATTATTAGCCCCTCCCTCATTTATCCGCGACACCTTAAAGGCCGGTCCGTGAAAATATTGTCGGGCATAAACCGGTCCGTGGGGCAAAAAAGGTTGGAGACCGCTGATTAAGAGGACCCGAGGGAAGCTCGGAAAGCTAAGCAGAAGTTATTTGGAGAGTGACTGCCGTTGGTTGAAAAGAGAGTTTAAAAAAAAACTTCAGTGGTGTTGCACACTATTTTATATTATTTTTTTAAAGTCATTGTTAACCCTTTAAAGCCGGTCAGAGCAGCATGCTCCGTTTTGCGTAACTATTTTTAAATCCCTGTAGAACCTGAACCGTGTAAGCTAGCGCAATAATTTGTTTTGCATATGAAACCGGAGGAGTTGTACTTACATCTTATGACATCAGCTTGTCCTCGGTCACGGTTTTGTTCCACATATAGCTTTGCAAAAATTGCATAAAAAGCGCTTGCAGCAACAAAAACATAATATTCCAGAAACACGCTTTGCCGTTCCTATCAGCTGTTCGTAACACTTCCCACAGTGAAATGATGCACCTGCTGTTTTCTTTGCAAATTTGCATCATAGGATTGTTTTTTGTTTTTCCTGCAATATATAAAAATTGCTGTATCTCCAAAATAAAACTATGAAGACACTCAAAATAAATTTCCTGTTGTTGTAAACTATTTTTTGCAACTTTATTGTATTTAAAGTTTTGAGGGATAAACCTCTTAAATTTCTCCAAGTAGAAATATATGTAACAAAACAAAAGCGATTTTCAATTTTTTTTGTAGTTTATTGCACTTTTTTGCAATTAATGTAGTTACTATGGACTTAATGCATACATATTAGTAAAATATGGGCTATAACAGTTGTATAGCAACTTGAAATGCTCCCACAAATGGCACTACAGCGTGTAAAAAAAAAAATAATATAAGCTCTGGTGGACTTGGTTCTATAGTAGGTCTTAAAGGGTTAAATAAATATCGTCAAATAATCGTGATCTCAATTTCAGTGAAAATAATCGTGATTATCATTTTTGCCATAATCGAGCAGCCCTAGGGCCAGGTCTGACGGTGACTTGTGATCAACATTTCATTAACAAATGAAAATGTGGTTTCATATCATAGATATACAAGATTTACAAATTAGACTTAATTTAGAGCCTGGGACTGTTTTTTGTTGCGTATGAATACATAATGTTGTGCTTTTTGTCCGTATCTCTGGTGTTGCGCTGAATCTAAATAGGTGGTCATGAAGGAACATGTCATCCAGTGTTATCAGCGCTTTTTGGTCAAAAAAATATTTCCGTTGTTATTTTGTTTGTTTATTTTTCTGTTTGTAAAACTTTATGGAGAGATTTCTTATCTGTCCATAATTTTATTAGAAGTAAGGGTCTTTAAACTTGCAAAGTAAATAATGTTTGGACTCAATCCATAGGAGAGATTTTTCAAAGGATTCTCTATCATGGTTGGTTAGACATTGAACATTTTTGCTTCATATCATAACAAGCATATGTACTAAAGTAAGTAAGATATGAAGACATAGTCCTAATGTTCTTGAAAATATCATAAACTAATGTGGATACGGGGACTATGTTAATAAATACAAAAGTTTCACAATTTTACAAAATTGTAAAATATTTCAAATCTAGTCACATTGCTAGTTCTCCAGGTTGTTGTGTTTTGGTTGGTTTTTATGTAGCAACTGGTCTAATTTTCATTACCATGGTTTTTAGGGAGTATTCAAGCCCTTTAAAAGTTCTCCAGTGCACGCCAGTTAAACGGGTTGAAGGTCCCCACATGTAGATGGCATTGGGGTTGGCAGCATAGCACGAGCTGTACCAGAATCCTCCATAGCACACCATGGCACAGTTCGAAGGATGTGTATCTTGATCATTGTCAATGGTAGTGAATTTCATTCCATTGTGAATACTTAGAGAGTCTCCTGGAAAAACAAAACAAAGCAGAAAACACAAATTTTGTTTCAACTACTAAAAAATCCTAACTTTGTTGATAGATTATGAGTAGATAAAGTAAAAAAAAAAAAGTTCTTATAAAAGAGAGAACAAAAAGTCCCACCTGCTGCCCCTTTGATGAAACTTCCCAGGTTTAACTTATATCCATCTGACTCTGGGCCAACAGAGAAGGAGGAGTAATGGGCAAAGACCTTCTGGCCTTCAAAATCTTCCATGTCGACCTTCAGCTCATAGTTCTTGCGTTGGGTTAGCAGATGCATTGTCTCCAGGCCTGGGAAGATAAAACAGTGAGCAACTGTGATCATCTGAAATAAACTGTTTTAGACAAATTTGATGAGTTTGAGCCGATGTTATTGTTGTTAAGAAAGGAGAAAATGTACAATAAATAACAGTAAGGTTTATTGACTACTCAGGCAAATTTAATCCAAAAAAGAACGATGAATTTTACCCAGCCAGTACTCTCCAGCAGCGCTCCCAAATCCGGTTTTGTAGTGCTCCCACTTCTTGAAGAAGTTCACTGTGCCATCTTGTCTTCTCTGAATCACCTGGATTTAACAGAAGTTTCACACAAACTGTCAGTAAAAGGCAAATTATAGACCCCCCAGCAAAAGGACTCCTTTTAGCTTTGCTAACTTCACACAAGGTAACTAAAACTAAAAGGTCTTCTGGTGCTTCTCCCTTACCTTTAGATTTAAATATATCTGTGTATAGAGATGATCCTTGAATAAAACCAGTCACCCATGAGCATAAAAAGATATTTAATACAAAATTCTGACTGTGTTAAACATGAATTTTTGAGCCAAGATGTGTGAAGCAGTTCATAAAGTTAAAATAGGTAAGTTCTGGCCAGATCTCTTTATCTCTTATTTCAAGATCAAATTCAGAAGAGGTAGATTAGTTTGGAAAAAGAGGGCTGAGCAATCCTCACCGTCCATTTTTCTGCTGAGTTGTCGATGTCGTCTTTGCTCATGTCACAGTAAACCTGCACAGGAGAGGTGGAGCCAGCTGGATAGATGGTGTATACTCCATCCACGCCTGCACCACCTCTGTAGATGTCACTACAGTCTGTGGGCAGAGGGGATTGATAAGCTGCTGCAGGCAGCAGCACTGCAAACACAAGTCTGATCTACAGCAAAGAAAAAATAATGTCTGTCAAAGTTAAGGTTTGTAACAGGATCATGCACATTACAGATGATACCTTAAACTTTTAACATTTTCATAACACAAGGAGGCAAGCGGTTTTTAGTGCAAGTGCTAGTGCAAGGTTTTTCTGGAGCTAGTTTAAAGATGAAATGATTTTCATAGTATTAACCCTCAAACTGCACTGAAGATATATTTATTTGTCATGTTGTGTGGACTTATTTGACATCATATTAGTTGAAGATTTGGTGTGAAGTACACAGAGACTTTCCCAGGAGAAATTATGGTTGCTGGGATTAGGCCTGTAATCTGTTAGTCATGAGTCAAGCTCTGTTATCTCTATATTTGATTGCTTGGCTCTCGGGTGGTGCTGAAGAGCTCTGTCCTCTCTCTATCTCTAGATCCTCAGTTAATGAGTGCTCTGCTCCTGCAGTAGACTTGACTCTACTTCTCTACTTTGCCGTCTCTAATTTTATTGGAGAAGGTGGCAGTGATGCAATTTAATGATCTTGCTGGAGTAAATATGCAGTGCAAGGCTGTTTGACACAGTTTTAAAATGGCTATGATTCTCCACAAATTTGCTCAATGGTTGTGTCTCGGATAGATTTTATTTATGATTAGAGCCTCCGGGTTAATGCTAACATGCACAGGGCACTTGTAAGAGGCTAAGGCTAAAGAAAAGTGTGGCTAATATCAGGCAGGCACACACTAAACTACACTTGAACAGCCATAGAAGGAGAATGAGGTTGCAAATAAATTATTTTAAATATTGTGTCTGTGAAGTTGTAAGAAACTGTAACATTAAAGTATCGTTTGTGATGCATGTGTTTTTCTAAAATGAGATAGTTTAGGCAGCATCATATGTTACATACCATCATTCTTTTACCAGCTTGAAGTGGTTACCAAAGAGAAGCCACTGCAGATGAAAAGAAAGAAGAGACAGTTTTAGCTTTTAACAGATTCTATAAAGTTGATTATTGGAGCCAAACATGCAGTGGGATCAGATACTACCTTACCAGTTAAGTGCTGAACCTAATGTGTTTCCAGAGTAAGCAGCTTCTTTTATATTTGAGCAACTCTGACTGTTTCATCACCCAGTGTTTCCCCCGTGTTTTCCCACATGCAGTAACATAGTGTTTATTTATTCTCAGTATTTTTTACCTCCCTCTCTTGCAGTTTGTGTTAGTACAGCAAATACATTGTATCTATTGTAGTGTTTCCAAAATCCCTTGTCTTTTGTTTGTGATTATCTCATTTTAAAATATCTACTGATTTTGGAAATTCCTTTACAAAACTTATTTTCACTGTTGTTTTAGGTTTGATTGAATATCTGGGCCTTTAGCTTCACTCTGGTCATTTGCTACAATATTTGTCAACTCACTATGTCAGATAAGGCTATGTTAGTCATACCATTTTGCCTTTTTGTGATTGCAATGTGCCCTTTCATCATAAAAGAGGTGATATGAAATAGGCAAGATAAATAATCAGGAGTTATAATAAAAAGGTAACCATAGTTTATTTGAACCATGACCTGAACAATGACGATATCAATCCCCCAAATTTAAAAAAGCAATAATTCAGTAAAGTGGCAAATTGTCTTTTTGTCTAAACCTGAGCAAACATACATTTTTGTAGTTTTATCAGTTTTGCTCCACTCTCCACACATCAAATTCATTTCCACTGTGCTATTCAGAAAATAATTTTTACCGGCATACATGCAAAAAGTGTTGGCCAGCTGTTGCCCTGCCACTACTGAAGTCAGGACATAAAATGCTTATAACTGCTGTTATGGATGGTATCACTGTATCTACACATTTGGACTAATTTATTATAAACTGCTATAAGCAGATCAACTCTGACATTCAAAGACACTTTATTTGATGTTTCCAAGACACTAATGCTGCTTACCGAACTATCAAGTTAGCTCAAAACTGACTGCTAACACAATTGTCTCAAGCTTTATTGTCTTGACATGCCTGCTTCTAAATGGATTTTGTCTTGTTTACTGATATTCTCAGTCTCCCTGACAAATTCCTCTATGAAGTTAACCAATGTTGTCTGTCTCTTTAATATCTCCCTAATCTACCTGCTGGACTTTGACCCTTGAAGTCTCTGCTTGTGTGTACTTGTGTATGTGTGAATCTCACTGTATTGGTGAAGAAGGAAGGTCGAGGTAAATATTTTGCGCATGTGTGTGTTGGTGGTTTTTACTCTGACACTTTTGTTGTGTGAGTAGATAAAATGCTGATACTTGACTGCCAAGTTTTTTGCTGCAGTTTATTTTAGGTGCAATGGATTGTGTTAACCGCTCAACCCACACACCTTTTTAGAGTCAGACAGGAATTTTCACAGGTGGAGAGATTATTGTACTCTTATTCCATCCTGCATTTATTGTAAGAGATATGCACACCTACCTCAGTTAAAGTATCATAATATGGTGCACCAGTGGGCAAGCAGCATATAATAATAATGTATACTTTATTGATCCCCGTGGGGAAATAACTTGTTTTTCTCTGCATTTGACCCATTCACTCAGTGAAGCAGTGGGCAGCCACTAAGCAGGTGCCCGGGGAGCAGTGTGTAGGGACGGTACCTTGCTCAGGGGTACCTCAGGGTAGCCGTTCAGTGGACTCGAACCCCCGACCTTCCGATCATGAGGCGACTACTCTACCTACTGAGCTATCCCTGCCCTATATGGCTGTTGTAGCTTTTAAGGTCACACTGTTTTTATAGTTATATAAGGTTAGATGGGGTTAGACAGACCAGTGATTGCCAACCAAGGGCTTACATCCTTCCAAATGGTCACAAGAGAACTGTGAGGGTTCATGGGTTTAAAGGGAAAATGTGTTTCTAGTAAAACTGTTAACTCAGACTTTAAGAAAGACCTTCTATGCTAGTTTCCAACTCCATAATTTTATTTTTGAACTCTACTAGTGTATCTTTGAAGTGATTACAGTTTAAAATAACCCTTAATTTTATTATAAATTACTTTGCGCGTGGCCTCATTTCAACCTCCATCTGAATGAACCAAGTTTCCATTTAGCCAACTTTCTTACAATTTACTGCTAATGGCTTAGAACAGGGTGAGCGTCTGTACTCTGAGCTAGAGCTGTGTGCCTACATGACCCTATGAGGATGTCTGCTCAGTGACATGATATAGAGCCAAAAGCAGAAAAAAATGTCTGAAGTCTGAGTTTTTGGCTCACATGAATTATTTGTAGTCAACCCATTCTTTTCCGCTTATCTAATACAAGGTTGCGGGGATGCTGGAGCCTTTCCCAGCTGTCTTAGGGCAAGAGGCAGGGTATACCCAGACAGGTATTGATGAGAGGCGGGGTCTGTCGTAGGGATAAAAACATGGAGACGGACCACCACTCGCACTCACATTCATACCTATGGGCAATTTTAAATCATGAATTAACCAAACCCCACTAACTGCATGTCTTTGGACTGTGGGAGGAAGCTGGAGTACCTGAAGCGAGCCCACGCAGACACAGGGAGAACATGCAAACTCCACAAAGAAAAGCCCTGGCAGGATGGTGAAATTGAACTCAGGCCCTTCTTGCTGTGAGGCAACAGTGGTAACCACTGCTACTTGGAGACAATATTTACGTCAATATTTCAAATATTCGCTGTGTTTAAAAGCAGAATCTGCCATCATAATAGTTTTTGACAGAAATTAAGGAGAAAGCATGATAGCTTCACTTGAACTTTGCCACTTTGTGGGAGGGGGGGAGAAAATTACATGATAGCTTTGTGTGAGCCTCAGGCCAAAAAGGTTGGGAACTAAATTCTTAAAAACGTATTACATTTTAAATTCCTCTTAAATATAAAGAAGTGAAAAGAACTAGATGGGATTTTTTAAAATTTTGCTTTTAACAAGTAGCTGTTGGCATTATTATGTCTCTAAAAAATAGGGACTAAAAAAATTAAGGACTTCAGAAAGAATCTCTTTATAAAAAAGTCTTGAGTGTTAGTCTCTGTATTTGTTCAGGTTTTACAGCCAGTCTGATGTGCATATGTTTATCTAGACTAGGATTCATGAGCGTGAGTCTAGTTTTTTTATTGTGAGCTCTTTTAAGTAGTAATTATAATAAAACAAACCTTTCTTTAAACAATAAAAACTAAACTGAAACAAGTTAGTCCATTTGGGAAACTAGACAAACATTTTTAACCTTAATAAAAATCAAAACTTGAAAATAGAAAACTCTTAGCACACTGGCGTGCACACTCAGAGCCTCTGTCCTCTGATCCGGTGCCGCCACCTGGTCTAAGATTAACGCCGGAAGTCTCCTGCCTCCCCCATCCCTCCCTCTCGTCCTCCTCCATGCTCTGGACTTTCTCACTGCAAGCCAGGTATTTTTAGCTGTGACATAATGCCCCCCTCTCTCTCTTTCACTCACAGCCTTTCACTCTCTGTCTTTCTCTCCCTCCCTCCCTCTCAAACACCGACAGTCCCTCCTCCTACTCCCTCTCCTCTCTTGCCCCCATCCCTCTCTCCCTAGCTTCCAGGCTAGGGCTTAGCTGCTATAATTGACTGCTCAGGTTTCACACTTTCAGCTGCGGGCTGAGAAACATGGCAGTGGAGGAGGCAGCAGAATATTTGGCAGAAGTAAGTCTTTACTGTACTTTACTGTAAAAGTCACTGAGCTCACAGAGTTAGCCTCCTGTCTCCTGATATGCTGCTGTAATGCTAACAGGACTAGAGATTGTGTAGCTGGTGGGATTTAGTGGTGTTGTAGCAGTTACCCGTCCAGACATGAGACACTGTCGAATGATGGTGATGGGAGATTGTAGACTGGGGGTCTGTTGATGGGATGGGTCGCAGTGATAACTCTGCTGCACCACTCTGCTGCAGTGCGTGTGTGTGAATGGATGTGTGTGTGTGTGTCTGTGTTTGTGTATGCACTCCTGTGTGTCTTGTTGCAATCCTAACTACCTAACTGTGATTGCACATATATAAAGTCCCCTTTATTGTGTTTTTATAAGTCTGTAGATACGATTTCCAGTGGATATAGTTTCATGTTACAGACTGATATGAATGGAAGTACCTGACCTTGGATAGTGGCGCATGCTCTGTATTGTTTGTGGAAAAAAGAAAACAAAAGAGCAAAAAAGGAAGCTAAAAACAACAAGAATGGTGAAGATTGGTGCTTTAATTCATTATTAATGTCGCTTTCATTCAGCTGTAGGAGTGAGGTAGAAAGGCAGCTTAAACACTGTTATGTCTTCAGTAACCTGCTGATATGTGATATACTCTATGCAGCATTTTCTGTCTTACTGTAGCCAAGCAGTAGTTTAACAGTAGTTAAAGTGGGGTCACGTGATATGTAACCTGGTTAAACACACAAGTGGGAGGGTGTTAATCTTAATGCCCTGTGGAGTTAGCAGAATACTGTTTGAGTTTTATAAGTGTGTCTATAAAATTAGCTTCTACACAAAAGCTAGCTGGTGATATGTATGACTAACTCTCACTCTCGTCCCTCTGCGTCAGGGGGCAGCTCTCATGTTGGAATGTGTGTAACTGTATGAGTGTGAAGTGGCGTGTTGTGGAAAAAGAGCGACAGAAGCATTCTTTGCATATCTCTTTCACGGATAAATAAAGTTGCACTCGAATGGCACTTAGCAAAAAGCTGAGCAGGTCTCCACTCACATGGCAATTTAAAACATGAGCTTTGGGGTAAACAAAGTTTTTGAGTTTGAAGCCTTTATTGTTGCGCTCATGTTGTTACAATCCTACTAGATTGAAGTCCTACAAACTAGATGGCAAACTAAGTGGAAGTTATACACAATAAAATTTGCAAAGTTATTTTGTAGCAAGGTAAATGTTACATATAATTATTTTTAATTACATGTCTGTTGCCTGACTAATTATTATTATTTTCACTGACCAAACATTTAGTTGTTATACAAAATGCATTAATGAGACCAAAAGCCCTGAATAGCTGTCTTCAAATTGATTTGCTTTTTGTTGATCCAAGAGACCTTACAGGAAACCCAGTTTTCTGTAAGGTCTGAAAAGACAAATA